CCAGAGTGTGGTAGAGAAGGTTCATCTGTATCAAACAATTGTCCAAGTTGTATGGTATACCGAAACCCTAATGATCAAAGTAAGTGATTAGAAACAAACAAAAGTTAATCTTTTACGAATAAGATAAATAGCCATCATCGAACGACGTTGTTGTTGGTGGACTTGTGGACCTTCGAATTCTATTGGTAGTCATAACGGCTTAGAAACATATTTCTGTGCTGCTGATAAATGTAATGGATTCGGGACCGAATTCGCTCTCAGTCCTCTAGGTATGGATAAGTAAATGAATAGGTCGATACGATTTTTTATCTTTTGTTTATACTAGTAACAACAACAACAATAACAACAACAACAATGACAACAACAACGACAGCAATTACTACTACAATGTCTAGTCCAACTAGTTTGACATCTCGTTATAGCTAAAAATATATCGTTTATTTTCATTTTTGAAATTGTGCTTTTCTAGAAATTACAACAACAACAACAACATCTTCCTCGTCAAGTTGTGTTCTTAATTGTCAAAATGGTGGTACACCAGAAACAGAAGATGGTTGTTTTTGCTATTGTTTAGAAAATACTAACGGTCGTGAATGTGAAAATGGTATAGTTAATTATTCTGTTTCTAGCAAATATTTCTTTTTATTTATATTTTTGCTAGTCGATTGTGCTCAATCGGATGTTAATTCTGAAATCTGTACTATTGAAAATCAACAATTATGTGACGAAAGTGAAACATTTGCCTTTGAATGCCTTCATTTATGTGGAAAATGTTAAAATTATTTTATTAAATCATTTAATTTATATAAATATATTTAGCATGTTCTTTTTGCTTTAATGATAAGTAACAGGTGCTTGTTGTTACTGTTGTTGAGTTAAATCGTTTTGTTGTATTGTGTCATAAGGATTTGAGAATAAAGAGTTATAAGCTCGAAGATTATCTTGATTATTTAATCGAAGTAGATTTTCTTTTGGATAATAATGCTTTAGAGCAGTAACTAAAGCACGTCGATTACCAAAACCACGCTGATAACGTTGAAATTCATCAGGATTATTATTGACACTACACATTTGAACGATGATTAAAAGGGATGTACCAACGATAAAAATAAGAAATAGATGTTGTTGAGACATGATGGTTACAATGAACAATAAGAGAAAGAAATGAATGAATGATTAGAATGCTTTTTATTTTTGCTTTATTTAAATAGTAGATCACAACTCATGAATGTAATTATTGAGTGCTAATAATATTCTCAATAGACTATACCAATCAAAATATTATATTCGCCTACACTATTATCTTGATATTCCCGTAAGAATTCAGATTAAGAAAATAAATATATGCTTTATAATAAAAGTAATAAGATAGAGAGCTTTATTTCAATTCAGATTTATATCATTTCTTGAAATGACTAAAGAAACGATAAAATTTCTCTTTTTTTTATTTTTATAAAATTTCTGTAGCCAAGTGAAATATTTTTCAATATATAATTAATATCTTGAAAACAACAGTACAGATTGAAGCTATTTTCATACAATAGCCTTGATATTTATTTAAAAACAAAATATACAAATAAAACAACCAAGTTTTTAACTTAGAGATTCACTTAAATTTCTTTTTTTTTGGAAAAGTCAATTGTTCTTATTTCATTTACTCAATTTAATATGTACATTACTAACTTTTACACAAGCTGTGGCTCCCGAATTTGTTTGTATATGAACTTGTCCTTGATAATTTCCAGCAAGTGTCCATGAACTAATGAAAATTGTAATTGGTATAGTCAACATATGATCACCCTAAAATACATATTCAATTCTTTCAAAAAAATTTGTTGTATTTTTTTCATGCGCACTGCTTTCAATGGACAACCACATTGTGGGCAAAGAGTACACAGATCATCATAGGTACATGAACCAATACCGCTAATACAAGGAAGAGAAACATAGCTGAATAATACTTTTTTATGTAATGCCAATTCCACCTGTATTGCCATGACAATCATTAAGTTATTATAGAAAGACTATAAGAAGAGACAAACTTTTATTGGACTTGTTAAATCTTGATTGGAATGAACAGAAATTTCTATAGAAACTGATCCAGGCATTATAATTGGATATGGATTCACTGTAAGATTGAGTAATTTAATAGAATTTGAATTACTATCACAATTTTCCCATGATATTTGAGTAGCTACTAACGTCTAAAAATGTATTTTACACACACACACGCATAATATTCTATCTTATCAACTTTACCAATTGAAGAAAAACAATGCATAGAGATGAAATCATTTCAATACCAGTCGTCAAGTTAGAAAATATTTTAAGCTAAAAATAGAAAAGAGAAAAAAAAAGAAAAAGAGCTAGACGATTACTTGATTATCTATTAGTCCAATACACAACTAAACACATGAATAGTCAAGGACGTCTATTTCCTATCTACATTATCCACCTACATTCATATCTGAGTATTTTTCGATAAACAAAAAAACAACATTCTCTGTACAAGTGTGTTGTTGGTTATGGCTTTTTTTCTTTTATAAAAAAAAAATGAAGCAGTACAATGACGTGTAACCAACGAAAAAAACAAACATGACAACATCAACGTGATTTACTTACAGTCTTTACAAAAAGAGAGAGAAGAAAACGAAGTAATAAGAATCAAAATTTTATAATAAAATAATTTTTTTCTTTTTCTTAAATATGAAAACTGAATAAAAGTAAATTATTTTTCGTTTTTTTCAATAGCAATACAATAAGCATGTCGAACGAGTAAATCAGTACATTAACTAGTTACTCATGACATATTTTGGTTATATTTACATAACAGAAAAAGACATTAAAAATTTTGCCTCATATCAATATCGATAGTATCAGTGTAAAATAAAGATACAAGAGGAGAGAAAATGTTTGAATCACGTTTTCGAATCAAAAACTACGTCGTGTATCATTTTTTAAAGAACTATATACATGCCAAAGTGAAAATTTTAGTTTCGTAGATTTGGAAGTAAATCGATACTCGAATAAACTTTGTTTTTTTTCTTGTATTTTATTCAATTTTAAAAAAACCAACTCTATCTGTTTTTGACATTGAGACTGACATTGGTCCCATAGGTTGCAATGAAGTTATATAGACCCCATTGTTTTTAACAAATTGAAAGATTATCAGTACTTTTCATTGCTTCTACAGTAAACACTAATAAAACAACATAGATCGATGATGTATTTGACTGATTATTTTCTATTCAAAATCTGAAATAATTATTGTAAGATACGGAAGAGTATATAAATCAAGTTCAAATATCTTACATTTGGATGATAACATGAGAAAAACAATTAGGAAAATCCTCCATAAAAAAAGGTAGTAATAAAAAGAACAAGAAGTCATCAGGCAAAAAAATATACCCGATGGACATGAGAAAATATCATCTACACATTGGAGCATGACGACAGAACGAAAGAAAATATTTCTATATTAAAGTGTATCATCACAATATTGCTAAAGAAGGAAAGCATATAAATTATATTATTGTATTGAAGATACGTTTTATTTTTCGAAGATTAAAAAACACGCAAGTTTAATTATAAGTATTATCTAATCTCTATTTAATAGATATTTTATACAGCAATGCACTTTGTACTGATAATTTAAGCATTTTTATTGTGAAAAATATAATAAAATCGATAAAAAAAATGGTTATTTTACTATTTTCTATTATAATAATGGTACTATTCTATTTGAATAACAAAAATATATGTGACGTGTGTTCGTTCAACAAGAGAAATGTTATCTACACGATAATCTTTCTCTCCTCAACTGAATCACAAACGATAAAAATGCATACTGGGTAGTTTTCTTTTAAATAACCATTCAATATATCAGATACAATTTAATTTCGACGTTTCAATTGGACTTTGAAACCAATTATCAGATTAATCTTGTAAATACGATTTGTAAGAATGCAAAAAACAAAAAAAATTAAAAGATGAAAATTGATATTTCATAATCTTTAACCGAGCATTTATATAATCAGACTGTCTATATTGAAAAAAAGCAATTTGATTTCACAAAATGCAGTGGACTTGGTATATAAGTGTACTTTTGTGGCTGATAGTAGCAAATTCATGCTTAGCACAACAAACTGCAGATACGGCTGCTAATGAAAAAACGAAACAAATTCTTAAATATATAACAGAATTGCCTTTACAAGGTAGATGATTAGTAACTAACTATATCGAAGAGTTTTATCTTCATTTATTCTCGAATTTTTTATAGGCAAAGTTCTATCTGGTCAGTTTGCTGGCTACAGTCCTGATACATTTAATACTAATCAAATAGATGAAATTACTCGACAAACAGGTCAAATACCAGCTATTCTTGGTTGTGATTATGCATGTGGTTGGAATTATAAAGCATCACCACATTTTATCATTGATTATTCATGTAATCCATCATTAATAGATCATTGGAATAATGGTGGTCTAGTTACTGTGAATATACATTTACCAAATCCAGCATCACCTAATGGTGGTGGTTATAAAGATCGAATGAATTTGAATTTTGCTGATTTAATTAATTCAAATACAGATACTGGAAAACGTTGGATTCTATTTCTTGATCGAATGGCACAAGGTTTAGATAATTTACAACGAGCAGGAGTAACTGTTTTATTTCGTCCATTGCATGAAATGAATGGTGATTGGTTTTATTGGTGTAATCAGGTATAAAGAAAAAATTTTCTTTTTCTCTTGAAATTGACTATTTTATATTTTTATAGGATTCAGAAGTATTTAAAAATGTATGGAGACATATGTTCAATTATTTGACATATACAAAACAATTACATAATATTCTTTGGGTCTATTCACCTGATCAAAGTCGAAGAAGTCCATCGAGTTATTATCCAGGTGATTCTTATGTTGATATTGTTGCACTCGATGTTTATACTGATGATCCAGTAAGAAAAAAAAATTTTAATATATAATAGTAATAATAATAATATATGTCTTTGTAGAACTCTATGAATGGTTATAATGAAATGTTAAATTTGAATAAACCATTTGCACTCGGTGAAGTTGGTCCAAGTACAACTAATGGTCAATTTGATTATAATAGATGGTAAGTTTTGAATTTTCAATTCATTTTAATATTGCAGATAATGAATTTTGAAGGATAACAACAATACAATCGAGATTTCCTCGAGTTGCTTATTTCTTAGCATGGAATGATGGTTGGTCACCAATAAGAAATCAAAATGCTTATACTTTTTTCAATCATCAACGTGTCATTAATCGTGGTAAAATTAATATAAACGATAATACAACACCTTCGGGAAGTACAATTCTTTACAATTTTTTCAATGGAATTGGTGAATGGAGAGGATCAAATATCATAGGTGGTCCATGGCAATCAGATGAATTTATTTTCCAATCAACAAATAGTCTTAAAATGGATATACAATTAACTCAAAGTGGTCATTATATGCTCTATACCCAACAAAAACCAACTTTTAAAGTTAATGGACACAAACGATTGATTGCCCAAGCACGTGTGGCTTCATGGGGTTTCGCTAATAATGGTATAATAACTGCAAAACTTTACATAAAAGCAGGATCATCTTGGAAATGGTATGATTCAGGTTCATTTCAATTAAAAAGTAACACAGCAACAGAAATTGCACTCAATTTAAATCAAATCCCAGCAGCAGAATTGAATGATATAAGAGAAATTGGCATGGAATATACGTCAAGTGCAAATGGTGGACAGACATCTGTTTATTTATCATATATTACTGTAGAATAAAAAAAAATTAATAATAAAAGTTTTAATAAATTGTTGATTTAATTTGAAATTAGAGTGGAATCAATACCTCGCATGCATATACTGTACGCTCATGTAAATCAAGTTCATTAGATAAAACTCTGAAACCATGACTCAATCGATACGTTTCACAAACATATTTACTCTAGAGTTTCATTGTCTTTTTTCTTATTGCTATTGAGCATGTTATTATAAAAAAACTGAAGATTAGTCATCAGACTCTGTGACTTGGAATAAAACTGATCCGAACACTAAATATCTTGACAGTGAGCAAACATTTCCTTTTCTCTTCAGCTTCTAGTCTGCATTGCTTATTTAAAGATATCGAATCTTTTACCTTGATCGTATCAGTAAATATTTCTTTAAGCTATAGAAACTTGAACTTTTTTAATGATAATTCAAATAAATTTCGTAATTTGTAAACAAAAGTCTACGGTGTAAAAAGAATAAAGAATAGTGCTTAATATTTACAAGCATATCAGGAAAATCGCTTTTTGAACTTTTACCATGAATAAGAGCAATGAAGATTTAGAAAAGATTTAATTACAGATTTCATTTTAAAAGATTGAACGGAAATGGAATATTACTCTAGCAGAGCGATGTGAAAATGCAATATTCGATATGGAGGGGTGTGGGTGTGGGTGTGGGTCTTCTTTATAACTACATGCACACCCACACCCACACCCACACCCACACCCATACCCACACCCGCTAAAACTATTGTGATTAGATCTTGGGCTAAACAGTTGTCTATAAAAATATGCGGAAAACAAGTGAATATTTTTCTCTACTTCTTGTCTAGCAAAATAAAAGTGAAAGCGTTTTACTCTATGTTATAGTGTAATATAGTTGCAGTTTCGAATAAAGAAAATTTTATGGAGCTGATTTGCCTATCAACAGTTCCCTATCCGTTACTTTTGACATGAACAATCAACTTCCTCGACAAATTGAAATCGACAATTTCATCTATCAAGAGTTTGCATTTGTTCGTTTTATTCAATAGAGCTTGGATATCATTTTCTACTCGCAGTAGAATCGAAGTAGAACACATTTTGAAATGACTTTAGTGATGTCTATTTTACCGCAGTTTAAGTCTTCAGAATTTTATTTCCTGGATGAAAAAGTTTCACACATGAGCATCAAGTTTATCAAAATTGTCTAAGGAATAAATAGTACCGAATATACAAACAATGTTCATGTTGCCAAATGTGAAGTTACGAAATGAAAGTTGTCGGTTGAAATTCGTACTGCTGCTTCTAATTAATATCTCCCGTTATAAAGGATAACAACGATGATTTTGGTACGTGTATATTCAGTAAATGAATTGTAAATGGTTGCGTCTCCGTCTCTTCACGAACATTGATTACTTGAAATAATGTGTAAGGTAAAATCAAAACTTCTTCTTCATTTTCATATTCCGATATACACGGCAATTTAATATTTATGCGACTCAAATCTATAGCAGTTGGACAGCGTTCTGAAAATTCATAGATAAATAAGACACTGTGAAATCCAAAATCCAATCTGTCGCCAAATCCAGAAAACATGACTGCTGCTGATTTTTGTTTCGAAGTCGATGAAAAATTACGCATCTCGACTACAGAGCCTTTTGTCTTGAACGAATAATAATATCGAGCAATATCAGGTTTAGTCATTGTTATACCACGATAACTTGAACCTTGATAAGCTCGTTCGGACAGAGATACTAAATTCAAATAGATAAGTGTACAGTAGGCATCAGCATGTTTGCGTATAGCTTTAAAGAGATCACTGAATGTATATAAATGCAGTAGGGCATTGAGATCTTTTTCGTGGATAAATCGATTGAAATAATCATCATATTTTTCTTTTTTTCGAATATTTTCTACTTCATTAAGAGTATTTTGAAATAGTTCAACACTTCGACGTTCGTTCATTGCTTTTATTATACTACGAAGTATTGCTGGTGATTTATTAAATCGTGCCATGTAACGTGATCGTTTTGCATCATCTAAACTTGTAATTACAGCTTGGTTCTTCAGAGTATTTCTGTTAGCCTCATACTCAGCATCTGATATGAGAGCCATCTCAATTGCATCATAACCGACTGCATAGAATCGTATTATACGTTCGACTTTGCTACGACAGAATAAGGAACGAATTTCATCGTTAGCTGCCTCTTCGTACGCTGTTTTTTCTGTATGGGTATTGAGAAGATCACGACAAGCATCTGCTTGTAATAGAAGATAGACAATCAGATGATGTCCTTGACGACAGGCTGCATGAAGTGCTGTATCGCCATTCGGTTCCAGTATGTTCAACTGATCATACCTACAGAAATGTAAAATTCTACGTACTGTTTCCACATCACCACTCAGAGATGCTTTGTACAAATCGCTTGGTTCTGTTTCAGATTTACTTTTATGTTGGTTATTACCCATTGCATGTGCAATAATTGTATGTATTCTTTGTTTATAAGTACAAGTAGTTTTTCTTCTGTTTGTTTTTCACTCGACAGTTACACGTAAAATTCGTTTTTTTTCTTTTTTTTCCAACTTCACGTGAAGAGAGATGAGCCAGAACCAGAAGTTAACCATAGGATACTTGGATAATATCTATCAGTCCTATGCACCACAAAACGCTGCGGATCGTGCTATAATAGAGCGAATTGGTGATCCTGCTGGCGCAGTAAGATTTATTGTTGAACAGCTAGAACTAATTCGAAATATTATCATTTTTCTATCATCACTGTTGTTATTGTCGTCGCTGTCATTTATTAAAATTATATTCTATGCACAATTCCACGATCAATGTCCAATCAGTTCCAACATTCCGATTTATTTACTCATAGCAGGTGTCACCGTTTTGTTTACAATGCTATTGACAATTCCACCGGTGAATCGTAGTTCTATCGATAATGTTTTTTTGTATTCAACCCTGTGCTTTATTTCAGGTACTCTGCCTGCTGTTCATGAGTGCAGCTCGCCGAAACGACACAATTCACAAACATGGTGACCTATTCGTGATGGTCTGTGAAAGTATAGTTTTAATATTCATTTGTTTCCGATGTGTCTGGAGTTTCGTAGTAAGAAGAAAAATGACTGTCTATGTTCTCTTTCTTTAAAGCTGATTTTAACTTAGGCTTTCTTTCGGAATATATGGAATCTTAAAGGCGTTCAGTTCAATGATCCAACATCGAACACGTATTGCCGTGCGGAATTGTATTATTTTGGACTAGTAGCTTTCATAACACAATTGTTCTTTCAATTTGCTCTTATTAGTGTTCAAGGTATTTACCATGCAAAAAGGAAAAAAATGCAAGAGAACCCGAATGTTCTCAGATATAGAGTCTTTAAAATATTTGTTGTAGTCATTCTAGTAATGGCTGTTTGTATATGAAAATATTCGCTTTCATCGATGTAATTGATATACATAAAAAAAATAATATAAATTTCATTTTTTATTTGTTAACTCATTGGATTTCGTTGGGGTGTGAACATATTTTTTTTCTCCCTACGAAACAGGACTCGAAACGGACCACTTTTCCATGGCTCGACCCGGTCCGCTCAGAAAGAAATAATCCAGATTTGCAAACTATATGCATCAATTTTTTTTCTCTCCGTATATAGATCATTTCCGACTAAAAACTATCTCACTAGACGTTCAAACGAAAAGGCTTACGCTCAGAAAAAATGGCACAAAATCCACAGGATTTCTCGTTTTCCAAAAATTAGTACAAATTCCCTTTCCCGACGATGCTCAAATTGAAGCTATCACATTGAATGGAGTCAGTTGTTATGGATTCGTTAGAAATTAGAAAATAAAATAACCATGCACATTATCCTTGATAATGATTTGTTAGGCGTTAGGAACTTCTACTAATGCCCGTCAAAGAACTGTTGTGTGCTTAAAGTCGAACATTTTTTAATGATTATCTATTGAAGAAGCTCAAGTATATCATTGATGGTGGTAGAATCAACGTCATCCCACTAACAGCAGTGAGCTACATTGAATAATTGAAAAGTCGACTGCAATAAATAGAATTAAGAATGCTTCCTGTTTATTAGGCTTCTTTAAGTTTTTTTTATTCTAGTACCAAAAATTAAGATGAATAACATGAGAAACAGAAAACACCTCGGAATTTTTTTGGTTCTGGATCGGTTCGGCTAGCATCGAATTGTATTGAACAGTAGCCCTTCAGTGTTATTTGGTTTGTTTTCAACTAAGCACATAAACCGAAACTCTTCGATTAAGGTACATAATGGTAGTGATGATTTTTTCTGATGGGACACTGAAGGCCGAATTGTACCGAACTGTCGCACTTCAATGCTATCCGGTTCATTCCCAGCCGGGTACATCTTCTTTCGGCCCTTCAGTTTTAAATATATGTGACAATCGATAGGATAAAATTAGAAGACCTGCCAAGCATATCAGAGCAATCACAAAGGGAAAGATAAAGTATTCTGACTTCATAGGATCCATTTTTAACTGTCCAGGCTGAATCGACTGTGGAAATTGGAGAGTTTTCTTGGTGTCTTGAAGTTCTTTTAAAATAACTTCACGATAGTTATATACATTCTTGAATTGTATGCGAATCGCCAAACTTCCATTGTTTCAGTCAATAGGATTGATAGCACCGCAGGAATAAATATTTTGCTCAAGAAGTTCTTCGTATTCGTGAAATTCGGAGTCCTGAATTAGACCATTACGCCATGCCATGCACTCCCTCTCAGTTTTTGATTCGCACCGCATGATAATTCTACAGAAATGCGAACAAACATTCCGACCGAAATGTTCTACTAAATCGTCCAGCATCTTCAAATCTCGCCGTTGAATACCAATTTACAGAGAAATACACAAACAGAATAGATGTACATCTTTGACGCTATCTTCTTTAGCGCGGTGTACATACATGCTAAGAGGTCCATGGAACTCGACGACTTTGATGCTCATGTCTTTGGCAATAAACTCAATGGAATTGTCATTTAGCAAAACATACTTTAGTTCAGGTACGTTTCACGGATCTTTGAGCACAGATTTAAAAAATAGATATGCCACAACGTCGTCTAGCAAACACGACTACAGTACGAGCATTATTAGTAGTCGTCTGATAATCGATGGGATCATCGAAGCGTTCGATCTCATCTCTATTTTTCTTGCATTCATCAGGGTTTCTAAATGCCTTGTCGCCAAACATGATCTAGAATATATTACCTCTGTCATGATATTATGTATAAGCAAAATTTTTATTGTAAACTCCTAAAAAGGACAATAATGTTACACTCATTGCAAGCTTTTATTTTAATCTCATCTTTTCGTAAAATACAACACAACCAATGACTGCATAGACTCTTCATATGTCAATAAATCTTCACAGCGTGACATTTAATTTGCGTCATTCTATCACTTCATCTTCTTTCTTCTACTTTTTTGCGAGTATTGCAATAAAAAACAATAGAGCAACTATAAGCCAAACCCACCAGTTATACAGTGTTTTGATTTTTATGATTTTTTTTGACTTTTCTAATTGCTTAGTTTAATTCACTCATGGCCGATCGTTTGACTACATATGGTTGTATGTTACTACTGAATAGATCGATAAGCCGTTTTCGATACTCGCATACGACTTCACACTGGCCATATAAATTCCTTGGTTCCTTATTCCAATCCTCTCCATTGAGCGCACCGGTGTGGGTGTGAGGTGCAGCTGTGAATATGAATGATGGAAATACCCACACCCTATGTTGAAAATTATTAATTTTCATTGTATCTTACTGAAAACTTCTTGAAACTTCATATCAATGTAAGTTTCATCTCTTCGCCTGATGTCGAAAGAAGTCTATCATTATCTGTCATTATCTGTTGTTCAACCATACCAACAGTTTCACATCATACACAAATGAGTATCGATGCGTGTGGTTCATTTGAACTGTATTTCGTTTTACCAAATTTTTTTTCTTTGTTTGCCGTCATTGTTTGTCTCCTCTCCACATTATGTATTTTACTGTTGTCGTGAACAGTACTTCTCAAGAAAGCACTTGATTGAGAGAAATTTTAGAAACATGAAAAATAGAGAGAGAAAAAAGAAAAATAAGTAAAGCCTTTTTATGTTGCACAAGTAACACAAGAGTCCCTCGACAAACAAACGACGCATTTTGCATATACGACATTCAACCAAGTTGGAAACTATTACTAGTAAAATTCTGTGACAAATTTTATTTTGATTTTTGTATCTTGGTAAGTAACTTACGAATATAGTTCCTAAGCAGGGTGTGGGTGTGGGGTGTGGGTGTGGGTGTGAGTGTGGGTGTGCAGCTCACGAACTCCGCTCAAATGAGCGAAAGAACTGTTCGAGCAGCTCATTTGAACGAACCGAACTTTTGGAACAGCTCATTTCACATGAGCTGAACTGTTAGAACAGCTCATTTGAGCGAATCGAACTTTTGAAACAGCACATTTCATATGAGCTGAACTTTTAGAACAGCTCATTCGAACGAACTGAACTTTTGGTAGGGGTACCCATTGGCCCTCAAGGGCTACCCTATAGGGGTACCCATAGATCCTCCAGGGCTACCCTATACGGAACGCATAGGTCCTCAAGTCCTACTGTAGGGCGATACTCTTGGGTCCTCAAGTCCTACTATTGGGGGCACTCTTGGGTTCTCAAGTCATACTACTGGAAGGTACCCGAGCGGGTTCAAATTTTTTTCCCTTTATTGTGAGGGCAAGTGATGGGCATGTTCGGGCCAATCATAGGGTTATCGAAGGTGCTCTATCGATTGATGGGTATATGTAGGGGTGCCCACTAGTGACCGGCGTGACTATCAGTGAGTCACGGTCACGGCCGTGACCGTGCGTGACTTTTTTTAAAGATCGTGACCGTGACCGTGACCGTGACTGGAGCTTGGTCACGGTCAGTCACGGGAACTTTCTCGAAATTTTGGAAATCCCTGAGGGGGAGTAAGGGGACCTTCGCGAAGCTACCGTCTCCCACCCGCTCAACAGTTTTTATGAATAATTTGGAAGTTTCTAGTATTCGTGATTTTGGAAACTTCTGAGGGGAAGCACGGACACCTACGCGAAGCTACCCTCCTCCGATCATCACTTTTAATAGCAAACAGAACCCTAGTCTCAGTCCTGTTCATTCCTTTGGAAATTTTGCAAGGATCTGTCAGGATTCTAAATCTGCAAGATCTTATCAAGTTTTCCTCAGGATCCCGGCTCAATTCCTGATAATTCCTGCTGTCGGGATTTCTCACAGTTATACAGGATCCTGTTTAGGATTTCTTTCCGCATCTGACCAGATGTGTTTGTAGATAATGAATACAAGATCCTTCAAGGATTCATTCATGATCCTGCTTAGGATCCTAACAGGGATAATGGAGAGGATTCTCTCAAGATTTTATCAAATTTTAGACAAGATCTGATGCGGATCTTGATACAAGGATCCAGTCAACTTTTGCAGCTAAAACTGAGGAGCGTCGCAACAAAAAGTCAACAAGAGAGCATATCAGTGACTGTTCTTGTCAGTTAATACAAGTAGAGCTTCTGTTCATACCCACAACCACATCTTGTTTTCTAAATTATTCCAGGTTAAACAACAATGGTAACCTGGTCAGGGTCCTGATGTAATCCTTTTTCGAATGCTGCTGGGATCTTGAAATTCCGTGGCTACACACTTCTTTCAGGATTTCATCGTTTCCTCAGGAAAAAAGAGTGAATTCTGGAAAGATGCTGACTGAATCCATAAAGAACCTGGTACGGAAACATCAAAGATTTTCCCTAGGGAAGCTTTGCAATTGCTCTTTCTGGAAAGGTTTTTTTCATGTTGAGAAACCAGAAAGAAGGGCCGTGACTCACGGTCACGGTGAGCCCAGCCCGTGACCGTGATCAACCCCTCGTGACCGTGACCAAAAAAGTTGGTCACGCCGGACACTAGTGCCCACCCGTCCCCTCACTGAGAAATAGAATCCTGCCATTCGATTGGTCCAAAAATAGGGTGTGGGTGTGGGTGTGTGGGTGTGGGTGTGTGGGTATGGGTGTGGGTGGGTGTGGGTGTGTGGGTGTGGGTGTGGGTGTGTGGGTGTGGGTGTGGGTGTGGGTGTGGGTGTGGGTGTGGGTGTGGATGTGGGTGTGGGTGTGGGTGTGGGTGTGGGTATGTGGGTATGGGTATGGGTGTGGGTGTGGGTGTGGGTGTGGGTGTGGGTGTGGGTGGGTGTGGGTTTATGGGTGTGGGTGTGGGTGCGGGCGTGGATGAAGGACTTATCTATGCTCACACCCATACCTACACCTACGCCCACACCCACACCCCCACACCAACACCCACGCCCACACCCTCCACACACACCCTCCTATTCCGATTTCAATAGGTTATTTGCCTATAGATTCTAGATTGTGTGCTAGTAAACACTCGAAAAGAACGTCGATCATTATTGTGATTTAGACAAACCTATCGAATTTTTTATTGTCTATTTTGCAGAGACCTCTGTAAGATGCCAAATTTCAAGAACAATTCTATTTTTGAATATTAGTATAGAAAAACAATAAGATTATTGATGTAGTTATTATTGCTTTTAATGTACGTTGAAAAAAAATCTCCTAAATTCTCCTTAAAATGATCTTAGGAATAATAAAAATTTTGCTAATAATGATCACATTGACGACGATAACATTCAAGCGTTGAAAGAGTTCATTGTTATATAATAATACTTAAGACAAAATATTCATTTGATCATGTGAAATGTAACTTAAAATTTCAAAGAGAGAATCAATCATTGGAATAAATTTCTTTTTCATTCGAGGTGATGAAAATTATATACGAGAATCTTTTGAATAAGAGAAAGATTACGAATAACATTCGGTGAGATCAATCTACATTATTTTTTTTATTGAAATTCATTTATAATCGAGAAACCAAAGTACAATAACATCGATATTTATTTTCCTGTTAATCTCTATTTTGGTCGATATGGAACATACTCATAATCGTTAGATTTCTTTACAGAACAAAAATATGTTAGTTTTTTAAAATTCAACATGTTCTACAAAGATTTTCACATAAAAAACAAATGAATTCTAATTTACCACTCGTCATTTGTAAAAGTAATATGAATTATGACTATTGGAAATAATACAATTAGAACAATTGTTAAAATATACAACCAAAAAAAACACGCATTTACAATAAATTAACATAGAGAAGTAAGGATGTGGGTGTGAGTTGTCTCTTCACCTAGAGACAGACTTTGTCGTCATACTCACCATATTGATTTTCGTTGCATGAAAAGGAGACAAGCCATTTTCTCATATTTGTAAATTAATTAACCCTTTGACTACCATAGTATAAAAAAAGCTACACCTGTTTTGTTAATATATAAGTGTTGCAATTAATAAACTTCAGTCGCTAAAATTTTCATTCAGATATAACAAAGTTCCATCTAGCTTACATTGAGCGAATCACATAAGAGAACACATGAGATATGTTTGATACATGCTCTTAAGTGTAGAATAAACTAATTTAATAGTTACCTGAATTCAATCCAGCACAAAATAATTTGGTAGTCAAAGAGTTAATTAAAGATATTGAACAATCAATCATTGGTACATTTAGAGAAATTATCTTCCATAATCATGCGAAAAAAATTCATTTATCTTAGTCGGTTCGGTATACGACCATTTCATGCTTGTTCGAAAACATTTTTATATTTGTTTCATTTTACTCTTTAAAAGTCGATAAAGTAGAATGTGCTAATTAGGAATATGAGATTTTCTTTTTCAAAATTAGTTGAGTAATAAGTCAGATCTTGGACACTTTTGAAATGCTAAAAAAGCAGTTTTGACCTAATACATCATCAATACTTGTTTAAGAATCGTTATAAACGAACTCATTCGATGTAGACTGTTTTTTCTCTATCAAAATTTACAAAAAAGAACATTTAGAAATAAGAATCTTCTTCAATTGATAATCATCAAATACTACACCAATTCAGTTCTACAAAAATAGTTTGCATGGGTGATTTAGCGAGAGTTTTATACTACAACTATAAATTGATATTTCGTCCATAAGTTTGACAGAACATGAATTCGAAGACTCATTACAGTTTTTGAGACTTATAACTGAAATAAATTCTACCTAATCTTCTCAAATCTAATACATCACAAAGCTAAAATATACAAATCTTTGATATATTAGAATAAAATATAAATCGTTGAGATTCACAAGATTAAATGTTCTTCAATGCATTCAAAGATAAATAGACATTTTATGGTTATGTCTAAAGATCATCAGACATTTTTTTTCTTCTGAAGCTTTTAATTTCTGATAAGCAATTAATTCTTATCTCGCATTACTAAAACCATTCTTATATCAACAATAAAATAAACAACAAGGTTAACGTTTTCTTCACCTACTTATACGGAAAAAAATAACTAATTTTTTCTTTCTGTTATATATAAATAAATAGACATCTTTACAATGTTTCTATTCCATTGACTTTTGAGTACTAAAACTTTATCAAGTAAAGTAGTTGCTACATTTTATACAAATCATTTAGTTTATTTTTATTTTTTTCTCGAATATTTTCAATGAAAAGCTAGTGGAAAAAAGTTTCGAACAGAATCTATTGAATCATCGAGTGTCTCCAAAGTAACTAAATGTTCCACTTTAGAACAGTTATTTCTTGCTTGTTGTTGATCTTGAGTGATTATTGCTAACAATATATCTTCGTGAATAGCCAGTTCAATTAGAGAAGGAAGATGACTTCGATAAAGAAATTGTTCAGCATAATCCATATGAATGTCAAATAGAATTAGTGTAGATAAATGAGTAAACTCAATATTATTTGTTGTCACTTTTGTTTTCTCTTGTTGTTCAAGTTCATTGAATAATTCGAGTGTTTTAAGATGAGATAGATCTCGAGCAATACGTGCAAAGAAAAGATTTTCAAACGGTTTGACATCATCAAAAAGTAATAACATAGTAACCATTGAGAATGTCTTAGTCATATTGAATAGTGGAAATCGATTTGAAATGAAATCAAGACGATTGCCAATAAATGGAAGCGAATAGATTTGACATTGACCATAATTATTATTGAAAAAATCGACTGCACAATCAACAGATTCTTGTTGATATTTCATAAAACTTTGACGAATTGTATCAATTTCTATATGAGTAGCGTTTTCAAATATTGTACGAATGTGAAAATTAAATTGACGTAAATGACGCATGTATGAAAGAATGTCTTTCTCCAAATCAAATCCATTAACAAAATTATTGAGTCTACTTGTTGTTCCATCAATAGCTAATAATAATGTTAAATATTCAACATTTGACAAACGTTGTAAAAGAGGAACAATACATTGTTCATAGTGAATTATATTCTGATAGATTTTCATTGTCAACTGTTTTAAATAGGGACATGAAATCTAAATGAGTAAATTAAATGAAACTTCAAATTAAGAAATATTACTTACAGATGCTATTCGAGAGATAATAATATCACTATTGTATGCATAAACATATACAATACTAATAGTGAATGAAGAGAGTTGTGAGCCCAATTGACTTAGTAAACAGACACATTCGTCGAATTCCTCTAATGTTATTCGGATATGAGTCAGGTGAATTGATTCAGGGAAAAACAATCTACCAGGATTAGATACAACGGGTAAAATACAGTCATCATAAAGTTCGAACGATATAATTGAACGCATAAGTGGTGAACAACGAACGGTAGATAAAATTCGGCTACCAATGCGTCCATCTCGTCGAGCAAATTGAGGTATAATTGGGAGGAGAGGTTTACTCCGGCGAAAAGTACGGTAAAGTTCCATGCCTAATAATATATATATATATATATATATATATACGAGTGTTACAATATAATACTATTCAAACTAGTCTTTTGCTTTCTGCTAATATTAATTTGGCAAAAAGAAATTTTCCATATTTTTGTCAACTATGATTTCTATGAGAAACGTTCAAGTCTATTCAAGTAGAGATTAAACGATTTAGTAAGTTTTTACTCTCTACTTAGAATTGTGTAAATATTCTATATATAACAGTAGTGTACGGATTTGTTTTCCATAAAATAGCGACAACAGATTTTCAAATTCTCAAATCATAGAATTTTCCTTATTTTCTAACCAGAAAATCAACTGAAGTAATATTTAAATACAGCTTAAAACAATATACTTAATAATAATTTACCTATTGTATCTAATGTATAAGGAGTGCCTGTTTGATCATATTGTCTACCAATCATTATTTTCAAATGTGTCAAATTTGGAAGAGTTCCATTATAATTTTTTTGAGCAAAAGTGATTATATCAGGAATATGTCGAATGTTGATTGTCAATGATTGAATATTATCGATAATATGAGGCATGATATGTGAATAAAATCGTTGAATAAGTGTTTCATATGGTGATTGAACATAATCAAAAGTTAAATCAATTGAATGACAATTATCAAGTGCAAGTTGTTCCAAACGATTATTACCAATAGTAATAATAGAATTCAGCAATAAAACGCGAGATTTGACTTTATTCATAATAATTAAAATTAATTCATCAGGTAAATCGAGGAATTGAACATTATCTTCTGTATAAAACAATAAAGAAAAATAAATTTGATATTTTGAAATATTTATATACTCATACTTGATAAACAGTTCATTGTTGATGTAATATGTTCAACTGATATCAGAATAGACGTATACATAGATAAATATGTGAAGAGTTGTGTTGATGGACATTGTCTAAGTGACAACCAATCATTAATGGTCAGTTATGTTAATTAACAAAAGATGTTTTTATAAAAAGAAATATGTAGGTGAACCAATCAGATGAAATTATGTTGAAGACTTTTTCATTGTGCAATGTAATTTATTTCATTTTAAATATATTTAACATTAGAAGTGAGTTATAATAAGACTAAAAATTATAGATTGGTTAGTATCATTCATTTACCTATTAATAGATGTGCATTTATGTAGATATCATACAAATATTGAGGTATTATAATAATATTTGAATATTTCTTGACAAGTTATGAGACATTTATAAAACAATTTTCCAAGTTTAGCGATTCTATCATCATTGCAAAGACACAACATTTATGCTTTCTTCTTTGTTAAGAAAATTATAAGTTGAAAAATAAACGAAATGATAAAAATATCATTAGAGAAAACTAACCTATTATCATGAACAGAATTCAATGCTTGAATCTAAAGCATGTTAAAATCAGAATAAAGACTTCAAAGGTTGTTATTTAAAAAAATTTTATTAAAGAATATTTGAATATAAAAAATCGAAGCTAAGAATAAAAAGTTCACGAACGTTATTATGATAATCATTAAGATGGTATCCATCTAAGAAAAATCAGTATTATTCAAATTAAAAATATATACTAACTAGAAATCTTTTTTTGTTTCTTTTTCATATTTCAATTGAAGTTTTTAATTCAAATGAATTTTTCAATACTAATAATTTTATCTTCAAACGAAAACACATTCATATTTGGATGCCGTTAACAGTTGAGCTTCGTACATTTTTCTAAAAATTATTTTCATATCATTTGTTTATTTATACCTTCAGACATTTTTTTTGTTATTGATACTGTCAATATTTAATCTAGCTATTCTTCGAAAGTCTCGGAGTGTGGATGTGGGTCTCAAAAAGAAATAGAATCAGCCCAAGTTAGTAAATTTTCACGAGTTGAAGACCGCTATTCTTTATAATTAGATGAAAATTTAATACTGATTGTTAGTCTGTCTAACATCTTGGTTATCTCATGAATATATATATATTTATATAGACTTTTTATATGCCATTAGCCATCATTATGTCTCAAGCGAGTTCATGAATGTTCACTTATTACTTATGTGATTGAACTACGGCGGTGAATTTATTTTTATTATGCAAAATTGAAATAAACAAAAAAAGAATAATCGTTCGGCTCATGTAAAATTAATTCGATTAATGGAATTTCTTTATCAATGTTTTACATCAACAGAAAATATGATGAACTTCATGTAGAATATATATATATATATATTATTCAATTATTAGTACCCATAAATTTCTTCAATTGCCAACCTATTAATGAAACAAGAACGATAGAATAATTACATATTCAGCTATACTGCTATGTTTGACTCAAATCTAGTCTTAGTGTCAGTCATTTGCCTCGAGATTTTTCAGAGAAGAATGGAACAAAAAATCATAGTTAGATAGAAAGAATTAATCCGCTAAAAAAAAAGAATAATTATCTTAAGTCTTATAACACAATTATATTTGTTTCTTAATATCGTATACTTGATTGATTTGTACTTTTATTTTTACTTTTACAAATCTATTCAGTTCGTTTATTGTCATAAATTCATTGATCATTTTGATTATATCTATAGACCAATGTGGGAAATCTGATAAAAGACAACATGGAAAAAAATTGCTTTCCAGAAAATACATGCAAATTATTTTGCCAATGCTATTTATCATTAAAATATATGAAACTTATAAATTTTATTATGTCATTAGCATGCATAGTAGTCATTGTACTCTATACGTCCTTCATTATCATATCAGTCTTCTTTATTCTATTATCAACTGGAAGATCATATTTCATAATCTTCATGTTGATTAAGTATTGCATCAGTAAATCTTGTTTGTTTCAGTCATATCATAGAAGCTTTAGAAATTAAAATTATTTTAATATAAAACTCTAGCAAGATCAATCCTTTGATTTATTATCAAATCTTATATATGCATACAAACTGAATTTTCCACATAGCGTTTTTTGTATATTACGCTTGAACAAATCTGCATCATCTACATGCGTTCAATGATAGTATTATAAAAAAAAAAAACTCATTGTCTCATACGTTAAATATTCGATCAATGCCATTGACCAAAATAGAAAATCAAATGTAATTTGTCTTTTATTCTCTATTTGCCTTTAGATCTGAAACAGTAATCGTTTCTGAAATTTCCCTTGAGATTTTCAACTTTTCTTATATTAAACAGTCGTTATTGATTACTGATGTTTTTAGTACAACGATTTATTCCTTTTGAACATGCAAGAATTTATTGAGATTAATGCTCAAAATGATTCACTTGTTATGTAGAATTATAAATTATATATATGATTAATATATCATAGTATATATGTCTTGTTTTTTTCAATATTTCTTTTCAACTAACAATATATACGTAAGATTCCACGCGTGTATACATACATAAAACATCAAATATAATATAATGATATACATACCAAATAGAAAATGAAAAATAGAGTGCAAACTAACTGGCATTAAACGAGTAAAGAAGAAGAAAAAATGAGTCATATGACTAGAACTATACGCATACATGCATGTTAAACGATAAATCTCCGGTATAATAAATCAACAAAGAAAAGAAAAGAAAACCAAGAATAAACACATATGTCCATCAATTTACAGACCGGAACAAATCGCATATATAAACATACACATACACACAAAATTAACACTGTACGAACAAAAAAAAAACCAAAAAACAAAATGACGGGTTCGAACTATTGCCAATAAGAAAGAACAAAATGTAGAACTAGAGAATATTACATCATTTTTATTAAATATTTATTTTCTATGTAAAATTTTTATCAATAAAATCAAGAAAACGTCGTGCATAAATTTCTGGTCGAACTGTAGATATTCCATCAGCATCTGAACCAGATAATTTTGTTTTAGCCACATGTGCACTTTTCTTTTTCATTCCATAATATGTTAATATATCAATTAAACCAAGACTGTACAGTTCACGACGTGGTGATGCTATTAAAAAAACAATAAAATCACAATTTTATTATTATCAAAAACAAAAATCTAATAAATTACTTTCTACACTTCGCATCGTAAATGGTTCATCAGATGAATAATCATCACCAACTTGTCCTGGACTTTCTATAAAAAGACTAAATATGTGGATAATTTTAATAATAAAAAATTCGTACCAGATTCGTCAGATGACTCATTACCAGATAGATCTGATGTATTCATATCACCAGCCGATATGGTTTGATCACGTTCTCGAAAGAAATGAAATGAAATAAATTTAAAAGCTAAAAATATCATCTTACCAACACCACCTTGATCAAGATCATGAATACCGATAAGTAATGAATAATCCATTTTATGTTGACTAACAAGAAACTAAAAAAAAACAAATTTTTTTATTATTCAAAAACAAAACATCTGTCTTTTTTTTGTTTTTCTTACATTAACATCACGTTTAAGTCTGTCCATAAAAATTTTCTTTTGTTCTGGACCTAAATCAATTGTTCGTTTTGCTTCTAAAAAATCATTATCTTTTAATGTTGGACATGGATTTAATTTTTCTTTATCTGTAGCACTTCTGTCAACAGTTGAACCCTGTAGAAAAAATAATAATAATAATTTTTATTTCAATTTAAATCATAGATTAATTTCTTTTTTCATACTTTAACATCATATTTAAAATGTATTTTTAATTTTGTTGATAAAACATTTCGCATAACTAATATATAATTTTCTTTATCATCAACTGTTAATCTGTATAATGCATAATAATGCGGAAGTAATGTGTCTCCTTGAGTTTCAACAATATACTAAAATATAAATTCAATAGAAAATATTCATTTCGAATAGCAAGTATAAACTAGATATGAATAAATCCATGACACAAAACAAAAATTCAGAATCTTACTATAGATCTCAATGTTCATATGATCAGAACAATAAAGTAGATAATTTATTCTATTTAAGATTCAATTAGAATTTGTAATAGATTATTAAAAAATAACATTGAATAACTTTTTTCGAATAATTAAAACCTACTTCGTGTATTATTTATGCTTAGATGTACGTTCAATTCGAGAAAGAATTTATAAGAAAATCGGTAAGATTAAAATGTTTTTCAATCTAATTACAAGTTATTCAGAATCTTTAGATACAAAAACTTATTCTTCGATTATCCATCTTTAATTCTTCTCGTAGATAAAAATTCACTCTAACAATAGATAATAAATATATTCTTAAAATACACACTCGATGATATTCCGGTAAAATATTATGTATTTGTTCTACATCTTCTTTTGCAATACATTTAAGAATGAAACGACGATCATATGATTGATACAATATTAAATTTGATTTTGTTGTTTCATTTAATGGTAGAGGTGGTTCAGTTAATGAATCCTTAAAAAGAAAATTTTGCATTAAAAATTAATAAAAATATTTTTTGATATAAAACTTACACGAAAACGACTATCATGTATTTTCCAATATTCGCGGAAAGCACGAAATACAAGTGGACAATATTCCTTTACCTTAAAATGACTGGGCATGACTTCCCTAGGAAGACAAAAAAAATTTTTTTTTTTAGTTTTATCAATTTCAATTTAATTTCACATACTTATTAAAATTCTGATTGTCAATACGAATTTTAACATAAGCTTTAAAATGTTCCGGTAAAAGCATAACAGGAATATTCACATTTTCTAATTCATGAATCTAAATAAATTTTTTTTTTGTTTTTTTTTTATGTTAGATTAAAAATTTCCTTACAGTGAAATTAACACCCCACATAAGTACAGATAATATTGGTTCATTAGCACGAAATAATTTATGTTTTTGATGGCGAACTTTAAATTTTGATTTAGTTTTTATTTTATGTCCTTCCATTATTCTATGGTATCTAAAATCAAACGAAAAAATACAAAAGATTTTCTTGATTTTATATAATTGTCGATATTTAATCTATTAATAAACATAATACTCTCGTTTATTTTAAATATTTAAGAACATTTTTAAAAAAGTACAAAAGGTTATAAGCTTAACTTGGTAATGATTTATTGTTTTACATTTATAGTTTTATTGTCTCTCAACAGGCTATGCCTCGGGTAGAATGAATGAATGAGTGAATGATCAATCAGCTGAATATCAATGGCTAATTTAGCAGAACCAATCAAAGAAATCAAATATCTATTTATTCTCTCATGGGATTTATTCATTAGAAATAAGTTAACTAAATTGATTTTTTTTTTATTAAAATTATTTGACATATTAGAAATATTTCTTTTCTAAAAAATAAAACAAGAAAAGATTCAGTTGTTATTCAATAGATGGCACTAAATGATTTTTCAAAATGAACTTTACAAATTGATGACAATTGAGCGGAACTCACCAATTATATATAATATAATTTCTTAAGCAAGCTAAGACAAAAATCGATAAAGTTAAAACATGTATGAACATTTCATATAACAAAATAATGCAAGAAACATCTAAGCAAATTACAGATAATCGATGACTTAAATGCTTGCTTGTTTTTTCTTATGTGCTAAACAAAAAAGAATCATTATACAAATATCTTCATAGAAGAAAAAAAAGTATATGAACATTTGTTTTATTAATATTACAAGCTTATCTGATAAGAAAAACGATTCGTTTAGGAATTTTGCATAGATTTAATTGGTATCATTTTCGTAAGACCTTGAAATTATTTAGATTTAATTTTCTTCTATATTTTAAACAAATTCAAAAAATAAGATTTTATCTTTTATATCAGTTCAACTATTTTCAAATAGCTATATATCAATCAATCAATTCTTTTTTTGAAAAGAATTAGTCAACATGTTCATTTTTATAAACATTGATTAGCATCATTTTTGATTGTTACTTTTACTATAAAGAAATATCATTTGTGAATTCTTTTTTTTTTAAATGTATTTATATATGAAGAACACTTCGAAATGCATAACCTTTTTTTTTATCAGATTCCCTGGTAATATCAATAAAGAATGGTTTTTTTCTTCTATGCAAATAACTATGCAGCTGTATTTTTATTATAAAAAAGTTTTTTTTAATATAAATATTGATGATAGTTATGTAAGAAACGGTCCTACGAACTTTTAATACCATAATATATAGATTAAAAAGTTCTTTTCTTTTATAAAATGTATTATATAAATTTATGGAATTGTATTGCATGTTTATGTTTTGCAATGAGTCGAATGAATCTCCTTCATATTTGACTCATTTGCAAACATTCTTAAAATATTAGAATTTCTAATTTTAACTTTGTTATCAGTTGACATAGGAGTTGTCTTCTAGTAGAACGCTTCTTCGAACTTTGAAGCCTGACTCCGACAGAATCGAAGTTTATGTAAATTATGAAAACTCCAAAACATCTTATTTCATTCTTTTCTTATGTACGATTTATTTTCGACAATTGTAACGTCCAGTAAACGAGAACTGTCAATCCAATGGTCAACTAATATGAAATAGAAAATATAACATTGCGAAGAAAAAAACCATTGGTGCCATTCCAATACCTCGACTTTCGTCATTAGTTGTATTTTCATCATCTTCACACGACCTTAAATTACATGACACCATTGGATATGTAAGCTCCTTCTAATTTACGTGGAAAAAATATTTCGAAGGCAAAGTTAAAAAGGAAAAAAAAATGTGACTCTGCAAATGTCTATATTCTAGTAGTCAATCCATGGACATGTGTACTCCTATTTATTGACTCCATCATAAAAATCAATGTATTTTTGTATTTAATAAAATTTTTCGAAATAAAACTTTAAGTTAACTTTTACAAGATATGTTCCATATCAAAAGTGCCAAATTTATCCGTATCGTTTTTGTTTCTGATACTACTTCTCTTTTTTATAAATAAGAACGTGCCTTTTGTTTTCTCAAAAATTAAACTTTTACTGGTGTAAATGATCATAAGTTTGTAATACTTAACAGAAAATCTTACGAATAATCTCGTAAGTTATAAGTTCATACTAACATTTCAAGTACATCTCAATAATACTAGTAACAATCGGTAATGATTTGTGTCCATATAGGTACATAATTCCTTTTCTTCAAGATCTACTTCCTTTTTCTTTCTCATCTAAATGATTCACAAGATATTTTTCTCGTTAATTTCGAATAGTACAAGTTAAAAATCATAAAATGATTGTTAAAATAACTTCAATTATCTTTTATTTAACTTTATCAAAACAAAAAGAAAAAAAATGATACATATGTATGTATATTCCAGATTTCACAGAAAAAAAAATATCGTTAATAAAGAAAAACATATCTAAATAATATAAGAAAAATAAGAATATATTTCTAATCCGAATCGATTTCAACTCTAAATGGTGAAAAACAAGATCTTTCGGATGTACTAATTATTGTATTATTATTTGATGATGATGATGTTGATGATGAATTTGAATCAAATTTAAATTGTCTTTTATCATATTGACGATGTACCAATGAAGAAAATGGATGTAAAATTTTAATATGTTCATAATGATTTGTTGGATCAGTTGATGTATGTCCACAATCTTCACAAACATATAATTTATTTCGACGAGTTTTATAACCAAATGTATGATTTAATCCATGAACTTTTCGTTGATGAGATTCAAGACTACAACGTTGTGTAAATGCTTTTTCACATCGATCACATTTAAATGGACGAACACCTTTTCATTAAAAAAAAAAAACAATAAAAAAGAAAATATTTTTCAATAAAAACAAAACGAAGTATTTTTTTTTTTAATAACCTGTATGTGTTCTTGTATGTCGTTTAAGATCAAAAGTATCATTAAATCCTTTACCACAAAGTGTACATAAATATCGTTTTATTTGACTATGATTTTTTAAATGTCGATTTAATAGTCGTTGAAGTTTAAATTTTTTTGTACATAAACCACAGAAAAATTCTTCACCATGATTCAATTCATTAGCTACAAAAATTCAATTTTAAGGCGTTCTTTAAATAAAATAGAATTAATGTAAAATATGTTAGATAAAACTTTGTGTAGTGTTTATTTATTAACAAATTGATAGTCGTCCCATTGGCAATTAGAGAGACATCTCTGTTAAAATTCTAGTACTATCTGTGTGAGGAAAGTAGAATGATATCTAGAAGTGAAGCTTCCATTTACTATATTAGTTAATATTCTACATCATTTCTAGTTTTCTATGTCTAATCTAAGTTAAAGCGATCAGTCTGTCTTTTCTTTCGTGACAGTTTTAGAACAATGAAAAGATCTTTTTGTCTTCAGCTATCAGCTACAATGAAATAAATGCACTAGAATAGAAGAATATATTTCATATCTACAATGTCTCATATGAATATTTCTTAAAAGTTCTCTAATACTTGCATTTGATTTTAGCCTTGAGAAAATAATCTGAAGATGTATTTGCATGAAATTTTTAAATCTTATTGTTCCAGTTACTTAACCAAGGAATACCACAGGTTATCCCAATGAACATAATATAAAAGGTAATTCACTAAATATCTACTTATAATCTCTACTCGTTTCTACCAAAACTTTTAATTATGAGAAAAAAAAACAACTCGATCAAGATGAGTTAACAATTCATATATATTTAATGACTCATATTATTTCGATGACGAAACGGAAAAAGAAAAATCTGAATTACTAATTAAGTGTAACGAATTGTTTCATTAATTATATTATTTCTTTCTGGGAAAAATTATTGAACTTACTATATTTAATTTGTAATACTTCTGTTGCACAATCAAATAAAGGATTTTTAACTCCATGTCCACCATTAACTATTTCTAAAGTTCCATTCTAATATTAAAGAGAAATAAAAAAAAACAATCTTTTTCTGTTTTTTTCTTTTATACATACAGTTAATGGTGGACTACAAATATTCGGTACAACATGTTCATTTAATCCTGAATTAATAGAAAAATATTTATTATTATGATTTAATTGATTTTCAACTGGATGTAATGGTGGAGTTGATGGATCAATATAAGTTAAAAATGTATTATGTTTAGTTATTGATGATGATTGACATTGATGAGAATTATTTGATGTTAAATATTCAATAGTAAATTTCTTTTTTTTAATCATTTCATTATTTGATAGAGTTAAATCAAGTGGTTGATCCATATTGCTAAAATGAATAAATAAGTGTGAAGTAGAAATTTATATATAAAAAAAAAAAAAAACAAAATGCAAGATTAAGCTAATAATTTATGTGTGAAAAAATGAAGAGAAGTTTTTATTTTGTTCGTTTCTGTAATATATGTGAATATGAACAGAAGTTTTCAGCAGGATACTTTTTACCTTTGATGCTTTTGTAATGGATTGAAATTTTCATCTATATTCAACATTTTTAAAAGTTGAATGTGATAATGATGCGACTTGATCATTAATCCCATTTTTCTCTCTCTCTCTCTCTCGATATGCTTCTTTTTTTTTCCCTTACTTTTCCTAACCAATCAATTTTTTGTCTAAGAATAGTGAACACATAAATAGATGTTCTTTTGAAGTTCATTTTTGATTCATTTTAGAGATAACATTGACTTATCAAACTTACTCGAAAAAAAAAAGAGGAAGAAGACGAAGGAGAATTTTTTCTTCTGTACAATTAATTGAATAAAAACATCAAATAAACTTTTGTCCAAAAAGGATGATACATTGAATGTGTCAAGAACTATGAAGAGATATTTTCACGTTTTATATTTCACACATTATAATAAACAAAAACAAAAAAAAAAAGAAATAGAAAAAGAAATAAATGTTCGTCATTTTTCAATAAATCACAAAACTGCTTGGCATGATGTAACTTATCGAAAAATATACATAGTGATTGAATAGAAAAATAAGCAATCAATATATTTGTTTGTATTATGTTATAATCTACTTACTAGTTATTCTATCTTTTAACTAAATATGGTTGAATGCACACATCAAATATCTTACTAATGACTGTATGTAACCAGAGGTATCGATAACATATTAACGGCACGATATTTATCAAAAAAAAAGATGATGAATGCTTCCGTTCGTTTTTCTCCTTCATAAAAGAGTATCTAACCATTTAATCATGTTACCTGTACGTGTATTTGACTGATCGATGTCTCAACGTGAATGCAAACTTGCCGCTATCATCATACCTGTACATAGAAAAATCCTGTTTTGTTCGTCTAAATGTCAAATTAATTTCATTTTTTTGCATTTTTCGTTCTTTTTCATTGCTAATTAGAGTGTACACAACAACAACATATAGTTAACGAACTGTAACAGCATAGGTTTTTTTTTTCATATAAAATTATATGGCAATCGATGATGATCGTAGACACAACTATGCCTAGAGGGACTGCTATATTACGATGGAGGAGTGTATACATACACATGTATGTATGTAAAATCATTTGACTTGACAATTTGATTGCATCAATAACAAGAGAGATGATCGTTGTTAACACTTGGATACCTGCTGTGTCTATTCGTCGTCTTTATAAGATGATACTTATAATGATAACGGATCAGTATTTGTTCCCAAATGACTCCCATACCTGTTGGAGATGAAGAACACTTTCACTTGTCATTGCTAGTTTGAAAAAAAAAAGGCAGACAATCATGATGTAAAAATGTGTCAATGAACAAAAATCATTGATGATGAATGGATGGAGTGATTAACTAAAATAGCATTGACAAAATAATCAAATCAAAATAGAGGACGCTTACGTTATATAGTATTGATTACATACAGAAAATTTGACGTTAGAAGAAAAAAAATAATTTACAATTAAACACCGTCAGAAGTTTGAAAATTTAATATGTGAATTTGTAGATATTGAAGAAAATATCCTTTAGGCATAGTTTCCTTTTTTTTTTGGCTTGTATCTATGTACTTTTTCGTGAGTAAGTGTTTCTATTGTACATCGTCGAGATACATTACAAATGCATTCTTATGTCTCATATAAGCATAATTCGTTTGATTTTCGTGCAATAATCTATTCTTTTCTCGATATATATATATATGATGTCCTAAAAGTCATGATATGAAAATAACTTCACAACTAATAATACTTAATCGAATGATATATTTAAGAGAGCGAGAGAGAAATTTCTTAAACATTGATGATTATCATGTTTTTCTTTTTTATTATTATTTTAATACAAACATGTCAAATGATTTAGATGTCAACAAAAGATAATATGTCATGTTTCTTTTTAATAAATATTATTGTAATTGTGTAGTTTCAAATTCTAAATCATCTAGATCTTTACTTGTTATTGTAATGTTTTCCTAGAAAGAAAAATTTTAATCTAAAATTAGTTCATCTCTTTTAACTTATCAACTATTAAAATGAACAAGCCTATGATTTGATATCTTAAGACAAGATTAAGTCTGTTACAGCACAGTCTTTGGAAATTATTGCTTTAGGAGTAGATATAAGATGGTTTCATTTGTCATAAACCTATTCGAAAAAAGATAGATTCACTTAAAGAATTTTATGATTATCGAATCTTTCTGTAGGCACGTATTAAATATGATAGTAAGAAAGAATAATACAGAATATTTACATTGTGCAATATAAAAAGATCTCGCCTATAAAACAATATTTTTTTTTTTGGTTAATCAAATATTTATTTCAATTGAATAAGACAAAAAAACATAGAGCATGCGCAAAAAGAAAAATGATTTTTAAAATGTTTTATTTTTTATTGTAATTATATACTATCATTATTGAAATTTTCAAGTCTTTTATCAATACCATCAAGACGATTTAATACATCTAATTGATAATGTTTTGTATTATCCAATAATAAATTTGCACAAGTTTGTTGAAGTCTATTGACTGAATCAGTTGTTGCATGAAAACTTTCATTAAGTGAAGTTATTTTTTCTTCAATTTCTTTACTTCGACTAACATTATTATTTGTATTGTTATTCATTGTAAATAATAATGTCGACCAAGCCTAGTTTCTTTTTTTCTTTTGTGTAAAATAACCTATTATATTTATTCGTATTAATAGTAACTTATCAAAGTCACGTCGTATTTAAGAATGAGAATGAAAAGGGAGATTAATATGAAAAGACAAGACAGACAAAAAAAAAATAACTATCGAAAAATGTTCATTTATTGAATTTTGACACTGGTACTGCTTGATAAGTAATAAGTATAGGTTTTTCATATTCATTATTTGTTAAATATTGAATAGAATCATTAGAGGATAAAAGAACATTTTCTTGACCTATATTTGATGATTGTATTTTATTCTTATATTTTGTTTTTATCTGTTTGATTGACGTTATAGATTTAGGTTGTTTAATATTTATTGGTTTGCGTAATATCATTGTATTCAATAAACGTTTATATAATTTCTTTGAAACAAAAAAATCGATATAAAAAGATATATGTTTTAATTTAATTTATCTACTCGAGTTTCTTGATAATCTTGTTCATTAAATTGTTGTATAATTGTATGTTTATTATTAGCAGTAAATTTTGTATCAATATGATCATTATATTGAAAAAAAGAATTTTTATTTAATTTATTACTAAGAAACATATGATAATCAATAGGTTTTTTATCTTTTAATGCTTGAGCTTGATCTCTATTAGCCATTGAAAGTAAAGTTTTTAATGTTAATTTTGTTTTCCATAATGATTCTGGTTTCTAAGATATAAATGAGTGTTTATTTTTTATTTTTTTGCATAATTAAGTAATTAAATTCTTTTTCTTACATACATGTTTTATTTCATGATGTATTCTTGTTTGAGATGAAGTTTCAAATGATGAATTTTCACGAGCAAATTCAAATTGAATATTTTCATTATCTATTTTCTTACGAAATAAATGAAATGGTGATGATTCAAAATCTGGAGAAATATTTGACATTGGATTACTATGAAAATCATTCACAATATCATTTGACATTTGTGATACTATAATATATTTAATATTTTTTTGAAATAATTATTTAACAAAAAAATTCAAATTAAAGTGCAGAGTGTGATCATCATTTGTTTTTTTTTTGCTCAAAAAATGAACTAATAAAAAAAAAATAAAAAGTATCTTTTGATTTCCTCTTATCCCAAAATAAAAATATTCAATCTGTCGGTATCTATGAGTAATGTAAAAGACATATCTTCCGATAGGAACAACGAAAAGATTTGAAATTTTGATCAGAAATTATTCTTGTTAAGATCTCTTTCTGTACAAAGTATTAAATTCGAAATTCAAACATGAATTTTCCTGAGGTAGATGGACCACTACACATTGACTTAGAAAATAATCGCTCAAAAAATACAGTATCTATACAACGATAATCTAAGAGCTCGAACTTTTTTTCAAGACATTCATTAGAGTTTACGTGATACGCATAGTCTCGATTCAAAAGTGATTTTGTCAGTTAGAGGATTTCTTTCATGAGCTATGAGTAATTGATTCTACATACATGATATTGTTGGACTAGGACTATATGTATTTGAATGTATTGTTTTATCAATAAGTCCAGGTAGTTTTACAGATGATTTTTTCATAGGAAAAATTTGTTGAACTGATAAAATACTATCTTGACCTTTCTTATGCATATTCGATCGTTCAAAATGAAATGTTGGTAATTGTTGAGGAGATAATGAAAGTTGTGGTGATGATAATGCTTGAATAGAACTCAAACTATTTATACTTGATGTTGAAATTTTATTAGAATTTGATATAAATTCTTCTGTGTTATCAATTGAATGAATATTTAAATGAAATATATTTGGTTGACTAAATAATAATCTAAATAATGTTATTGCAAAAACAAAAGCAAAAAAATATTTCTATTGTTTTGTTTTAGTTATGAGAAAAAAATTCATTTACAAATTTCGATTACTATCAATTAGTGTCGATCGTTGAATTTTATTAATAATCATATTACTATTTGTAATAGTTTTTGATGATGTGGAAAATTCTTCGGGTAGAAGAATTGTCGGACTAGGAATTCGATAAGAACTTTTTATAATTGATTTAGAATCATTATGATTTGGTTCGATATTCACTGAATTATCGATATAGAATGGAATATTTTTTTGTCTAAAAATAAAATTTTTTTAATATTTTGATGAAATAAATGAATTTATATACTCGATTAAAGTTAAATTTGATGGTTGTGCATTAGTATCAAGTAATAATTTATTATTTGACTCGAAATCAATGGATTTCGTAGTAGGTGTTGATTGAATTGCATTCAAATTATTTGTTAATTTTTGTGGTAATAAATAAAATGATAAAGTCTTTTGATTAATTTTTGTATCAATCAAATTTTCTCTATGAAATAAATATTCCTCTTTTCTTTGTTTTTTATTCTACAATGTGTTATGTTTACTTAAATAATTTTTTCTTGAATGATTTGTTCACTGTATTATTTGAATAATTCGTTTGACTATAATTAATTTTTTTTTGTTTATAGATAAAGATTAAACTCGTGATTATTATTCATCTTTTTTTTTGCTTTACCTTTTTGTCGACATTTTTTTATTATGTTGTTGTTTGGATGAAACGATTGATGAAGTAAAAAAAGCCGATTCTGTAGGAGATGAATATTCATCGCTATAAGAATCGAAAAAAGATTTTTTTGATAAATAAGCCAGAATAGATTGAAAAAAAAATTCCAAAAAACCAATAAAATAAAATTCATCTTAATATGAATAAAATTAATCGCGCGTGGTTGAAAAAAAAAACAAAGATTATATCATTCAGGTAGATAAAATAATCTGTTGTCGTAAAATTTTACTAAAGATAAATCTGTAAGCAATCGGTGACTTTTGAAAATATTTATTAATAAATCTCCTATTGAATTTATTTCATTTGACTCTTAAATATAAAATCAGGAAATATAATTTAACATATTTCGAATATAAGTAGTGAACAGAAAAACAAAAACAAAATAGTGATTCGCAATAAGACATTGTCAAAATGGAATGACTAAAATATTCTTGCTGTGTCATGTTCGTTCTGTTACTTATGTATATATGAATGAATTGCAACTTTATTAGATGATTCGGATTTCAAAGTGTTTTTCTTATGAATCCGGATATTGGAAACCAGCTTGGATGTAGATGTCAGTCTGGTCTTCATCTACATCCATTAGAGCTTAGCGGTTCCATAAATTACTCGGAACAGGAACTGTGGTTTCAGCTCCGGTTCCGATTACTAACAATAAGAAAAAAAAGCGTTTCCGGTTCGTTCTCAAAACATCACATGAAACTGAAACTGTTAATTAAAGACGCCACATATTTCAGCACTTAAATAAAACAATATTACACATATATATATTGAAATCTTTAATCTCAAGAATGAAAAAAAGAAGATTTATCGACATAAATTTTGAGAATTTTTCTATCTATCTTATGATCGAACGATTCTGGTTCGATTCTTGATTTCAGATTTTTCTGAAATCGTCGAACTCTAATATCCATCAATATAAACTATTTTTTCATTGTAGACAAAGCATTTTCTAATTTGATTTATGTTGATTCTATGAAATAAGGATTAGTAATATGATTATTGAAAATATACATTTATTGTTATTATATTAGCTCTTTGGAATAAGGAAGATATATATATATATATATATATTTTTCTTTTGTAACAAGAAATGAATGAATATAAAACTAAATACAGATTGTCTGACATTGATGTTCAATGAAGCATTAACAAATTAACATTGACGAATATGTATTCAATTTCTTGCTTGTCGATTCTTATTTTCTTTTACGAATACTAACAACTTATTTATATATGTTCTACTTGTCAGAAGATAAATTATGTCATTGAACAGAATATATCTGTCTTATTTAATTGAAATAATCAACTAAAAAGAAATTGTTTTTTTTCTTCTTTTTAAGTTGTTAAATAAACAAATTAATCATTTTTTTCTCTCATAGAATTAAGAATTCCATATAGAAAAGTAGTAAATCTAGCAAATTGATTTCTTTGCTCTTTTGATCCAAATGTTTACATTTTACAGATATTACGGACGATATATTTTACTGTATATGTCAGTAGACATTCGTAATAATATCGTCAGTAATTAGTAAACTGGCATTGAAAAATTGGTATTTACGAAACCAAAAAAGAACCACTACCTAATCAATATATTAAAAAAAAAAGCAAAAAAAAATTGTAAACATAATGGGAGCACACTTAGATTAATTACATATACATCAGAATGAACAAATAAAAGTAAGCATTCATCATCACATAATAGAGTCTATCATTCAAATAGTATTTGTATATTGACAAAGATGCGTTTCAGTTGTTTTTCCAGATGTTATCAAACAATTTTCTGTGTCCTTGTTAGTCTTAATTAACTGCTCACCATTTATTATTATTTGTAATATTACTCAATGATGTAATGAATTAGGACGTCAATTGTGTTTTTTTAAAATAATATTTCAATTGCTGTGAGAGAATTTGCTGAATAATTTCAATATCAACAATGTTTATAGAAGAAATAATAGTAGCGCTACCGAGATAAGTTATCAAGTAAATGCACATCACTATGTGGTATATTTGTACTTCCATTTCCATTTCCATTTTGTGGATTTATTTCTCTTGATGTTTGTTGAGAACGTAATGCAGCATCGAGACGCATTTCATTTAAACGCCATTGTTCAAAGCAATCACAACGCCATCGCATTTTTTCGATTAAAACTTTACGAAAAGTTCGTCTTGATATAACATAAAGAAAAAAATTTAAACTATAATTAAGTAAATACAAAACTTCTGCAATCATTTTTCCTGATATGATATATGCTGATGGAGTTTGACCACGTACACGCATTATACAAACAACTAACCAAAAAATGAAATATGGAAAATTTAATATACCAAATGTTATTGATATAACAACAAGCATCCATGTAACTTTATCATTTTCTAATTGATTTTTAAGAATCATATTTACATATTCATTATTTGCGCTATCAACTTTTTTTGTTTGACTTAATTGTTGTTGTTTTTTTCGTAAACGTCCAGCATGTAATAATTGTCGAACAGTTAATATATTAACAATACAAACAATTAATATAGGAAATGTTAAAGTTAAATTTCCATAAATAATTGTTAAATAAACATAAATTGTTTTATATTTATCCATTATATCACATTCAAATACATGAGTTTTTCCAACATTACTTATATCGGACATAAGAAATGAATAAATTGGTAATAAAAATGAAATAATTAATATAAATAAACATATTCGTCTAGCACTACGTGGATTGCATAAGACTGATGTTTGTAAAGGAAAATATACAACAATAAGACGTTCTAATGTAAATGCAACAACAATCCAATTAGCGGCAAAACGTAGTGTATGACGAAAATAAGTTGAGCCTATCAAAAACAAAAAGATTATATTTTATTATTTTGCAAAGAATTTCAATACTCTCGAATGCGGCAAAATAAATGAGCATTTCAAAATTTTAAGTATATCTCTCTTAAAATCTATTAATGTACATTTTAATAAAATTGATGATTTCATTTCTTCTAGCAAAAATGATACGAGATCCTATTCCAATGAAAATCTTCTGTGTTTTCAGATGTATTCTTTCTAATAGAGATCAAAAGAAGATATTGAAATATGATTGTGAGGTTCTAGCGGTCAATTATCTTAAAAGACGAATTAGGATTATCGATCGTTCTCGTTATAGATCTTAAGCGTCAGAGGAAACATGCTTTGCAACATTGTGCACGTATAGAAATAATAGAATACAAAATGACCTATTCAGTCTCTTTATTTATGGACAAAAGAATGATACAAAGCTAGTAATATGAAAACGAGTATTTTAAGAACGAGCCAAATCTCGAACATTGTAGTGTCGACCGAATATAATTTCATAGCTATTTGTTCGAAGATCTTTTTTTCATAGGCTGATATTTGCAATGAAATTAAGAACTAGATTATTCGAATAGATTTAGATCTATCTTGTTATATCTTATGTACTTGTGCATCGAACAAAGCAATGCTAAAAAAGAAAAATCGTAAAAATTTGATTTTAATTGTATTTTAAAATTTTTCTAGATTAAGAACGTAAATAGATTGAAAATAAATTTATAAGTCATAAAAATTTCAATTTAATTTTTAATAATATTGTTCCTCTATTAATGAATCTAAAAATTTGTTTTTTTTTATTATATTCTATTGAATTTTAAATATAACCGAAATTCTATGTTAGTAGTAAAAATCAATCTTTATTTGCTAGTTTTCAAGAAAACAGAGATATCCATATTCAAATATCTGAAATAAAATAGGTTACGATTTTTTTCTTTTCAAAATTCTAGGTTCTATTCTCTAAGATTCAAGAGAGGAAAAGGAAAATTTTCATATTGCAGCGTATTTTGAGAGTATGTCAAAGCAATTCTCTAGAACCTCTTATCTATTTCATGCCTAATATCGACGTATGTCAACAGCATATTAGCTTGATGTCATTTTATATAAGTCTGTCTAGTAATAAAGTTCAAATAGTTCATCGTATTTCAAGATTTGAGTATGAATAAAGTACGATGAAGTATATGAACTTTATTATCAAAAATATTTATATAGAATAAATTGAAACTGATATGTTCGTAATATATATTCATAGTAAACTTGCAATAGTAAAGCATTTCTCGAGAATAACTTTAGTATATATTTGGAGCACAATTAAAGTACGACATTTTCGCTTGTTTTCCTTAATGATATCACGTCTGATTCTATATCTCTTGCTTATAAAGTATCGGAATAGTACTTTTTGATGAGTTTGTTATTTATCTATTTGTTTCTGGATAATTGTTTTCCTTCCATTGATTTTGTGTGTTATTTTATTAACAAATTAGAAGCAAGATTGTTTATATGATGTCAAGTCATATTTTGAAATCCATTAAATCCTATATCAATTTGTCTGTTTTTACTAGAAAATATTCAGAAAGACAGAGCAACTATTTCCATTAACCTTCTTCTCTTAAATCTCTTACTAATTAGAACATATATACATATATATATATATATGTATATATATTATTCAAAGATATAATTTCTGTTCTTTTAACTACTGAAGCATATGTAATTATTCTATCTTTACACAAGAAAAATTCTCTAATTAACTGTTTGCATATTAGTGTAACGAGAAACTTTATTATAAGAAATATGAATATAAGCTTTTTGTTATGTGATGCTAAATACATACAAATATGTATATAGGCTAGATTATCATCAGAAAAGAATATTTCTGAAATAATTAAGGTCATTTGTCTTTTTGTTTCTTCAAAGATTTTAGCTATAAAAATTGATTTATACATAAATAAAAGAAGTAATATTATAAGATATAAAGTCACATAATATACATTTCGGATAATCTGATGCTTATAAAAGATGAGATTATCAAACAAAAAAAAGATCCCATGATGAAGAATATTTGCCATTCTATCAGCTATTGTATGTGACGTTATGAAAAGGTCAGAAATAATCATAAAGAGACAAAGAAAATCTGACAAGCTATACTGAATCATATATAAAAGGTCAAATTCCGATTGTTGATAGTCACATATATTTCTTAAAATGTTGATTTTTGAAAAATAAACAAAACTTCTTTATTTTTCCTTTGGTTTTATTAAATTATGATTTTTTAAAAACTATAATTTAACATATGTACTTATTTTTTTTTGCAGTCAAAAGCTAATAATCTAATTATTAAAAGAGTATGATATAGTGTACGCTAATTTATCTATACTTGCATAAAACGTTTTTTTTTTCTTTCTAGTAAAATGCATTATTAAGTATCCTGTTTATCTAAGGCACAGTAATTTTTTTAACCAATTGTAAATATCAAAAACTTCCTGTTGATTATCAATGACGCACATGCAAACGATATAATATTGTGAATGATATCGAATTGAAAAAGCTATTTAATTAACAAAAAAAAAAAATCGTGCCATTACTTATAAATATTAGTAATTTCATAAATAAAACAAAACATTTTCTATGTACATATATAAATGAAAAAAAAAAGGAAAAATTACAAAAGAAAGATATTATTACGATGAAAATTTTTCTAAGGAAATTTAGAAAAATATGTCGATAATTTCTATATTTTCTTGCTTACGTGTCATGACTTTCGTTTAAAAAAAAGGCATTATTCAATTGGAAGAAATAATTAGAAAATGTAAAAATCGACCTTCGCTATATTATCTAATAATCTCTGTAACAAATCTTCTTTTAACAACAATATCATCTTTGAACACAAAGTTCAAACCGAGTATGTTATCATATGTCAACAAGATCATATTATATTTCATTGATTGATTTAAACATATTTTGATTCATTGAATGAAAAGTATCTCTTGAATTAATAGATCAAATTTATTGTACTTACATTTGCAAAGTGGTTTAGATAAATCGACAAGATTTAATGGTAAATCAACATGAAAATCATATACAAGTGATCGAAGTACTTCATCACAAAAGAAATTAAATAATAATAAAGCCACAACAAAACTCACTATATATATATTAGAAAAAATAAAACAAAGATTCTCTTGAGAAACAAAAAAGATTTGTTAAACAAAAATTTTCTTTACTTGTAATAAGATATTCATTAGATGAATTTCGTCGAATTTTTGTTGATGAAAATACTTTTATTGAAAGTAAAGAACCAATCATACCTGAATGAAAATTAAAACAAAAAAATAATCAAAAATTAAAAATTAATTTATTCATAAGATGTTATATTTACCAACAATGACAAGAATAACACTTGAATAAAAACGAAATAATCGACAAACATGTGTTAATTGTGTACCAAAACTATCTGGAACCGATCGTTTTATAATATAATATTTATAATCAATGTTTTCTACTGTTGTATTCATAGTTCATATCGTTGTCGTTAGTATTAATATTATTATCATTTCAGTTTTTCATAATTGTATATATTCTTTTTTGTCTTCTTTCTATCTTAAAAACAAAAAACAAAAGGCAATACAAATCAAGATCAATAACAAAACAAATGACTTGCACGTATAATGATCGATCGATTATGGTTCTTTTAAATCTATGCCTATGTTGTATAGTTATTTCTTCAAATAAATCTCAAGAGAAACACATTGGCACGATCATTTTTTAGCTAGCACGTCTGCATATATATATATCGTCGTCTATCAATAGACGACAAAACAAAAGTGACAAAATTGTCGAACGACGTATGTAATGGTTCTCATTCTGACACAAGATTTTTTTTGTTTTTTGGTCGAGAAAGAACCAGAAAAAACAAGAAAAACTTAAAAGATTAAAAAAAGAACGAAACATGTACTATGTTTGAATAGTTAATTTATATCAGTTACATAATATTCAATCCATTTTATCACTATGAAACACAAATAAATAAAAAAATCATTGAAATATTGATGATTATGATTCTATTTTTTTTTGTGTCACTGTTTTTTTAGTATGAGAAATAAAAGAAAACAAGAATTTGCTCAAAACTTACATGATTCTCAAGAGACTTCGACTACAATTAATCAAAATTAGTTGTTTCTCTTTTATGTATTTCTTTCCTGTTCGTTCGAATTCCTACATTTCCTTGGAGATATGTAAATAAAGTTAGTCTTTATGCTCAAAACAATTCCATTGCTAGTTTTATTTTCTATACGTTATTTTGTAACTATGTAGATGAAGGCACGTAGATCTGTTGGGATTTCGATCATTCTTCGCTTGCTTGTTTTTTTTTCCTATTTCCTTAAAAAGCGAATCTGATGTGCTCAAATTAGCATCAAGAGATATGAGTTGGATTTCTATTGCTTACGCTAAACAGATGCTCATAGCGTGTAACGTTCCAAATATTTCATTTTACTTGCCTATAGCATGTCATAGATGAAAAACATAGGAAAAAAACATGCAAATTCATCTTAGAATGACATTTTCTTACCCATCAACGGATACTTATAAAATGGCATCATGATGAGTTCTGATACTCGACTATTCTCTGTTCCTTCTTTCTTTTTTTTTTCTCTTCTGCTCTATGAAGTGTATAGATTATTGTCAAAGCATTGACGGACACATTCGCATGCCAACTACTATTATCGTGGTACCGAAAAAGAATACACAGAAAGTTAAGAGAATATCATTTATCGCCTCATCTATATGATTTGATTTAGAAGACGGTTGGACGATGTTTATTAACATGATAAGATGAGATCAATTCAGCACATAAATATGTAGAGCTAAAACAAAAAAAAAAAAGACCTGACAAGCTTGACATGTCAGTAAAAGATTCTTATATCACACTTGCCGTTCTTCCGGAAATAGTAGGTCGTATGTTCGTGTTTTATACAAAGGTTAGTTCTATTCTATTCTCATTATAGTGCCTATTCAAATTTTTTCTTAAAAAATATTCGATCATTATTTGAATGATAAATAACTCAATTGAGAATAGTTTTCTTTTTTCTTTTTTTTTCTATTTATGGTAATAATTTATTTTCTAGACAACATTATACAGACATGCATTATCGCTCGAAAATTATCATGTGCTTTCAATTAACACTATGTATGAGTATCTTAAGAAAGTTTATATCAATTAGAAATGTAAAAACAAAGCATACATATATATATATATATGAATACGGAACTCTATAAATTTCTTTTTTCAAAACCATCATCGCAGAAAAAAAAAGAATTAGTATCTTTAAAAACCTCATTATTATTAATATATCATTTTTGTTAGTTTCTTTCTTTTTTTTTTTTCTTTCTTAGTAAAGCTAATTTATGAATATAAAAAATTGAAATGAGCTTTTTCTCATGTAATTCTTTATTCTATCTTGTGGCTAAGAAAAAAAAGCATTTAATGCGTTTTATTTAAAGATTATAATCTATAAACTTCTTCCTTTGAGGGAAATAAAAAAATAAAACGTTTTTTTCTTATATGTTTAATTGAGCAAAAGAAAAATGATTTACCTAAATCTCTCTTCAAAAATTATTAATGTTATTGTTATAATGAATATATATATTTCATCACTCTCTAATTTTCTCATCGTTATATACATATTTATATATATATATATATACATTACTCATTTTTTGTCACCAAGAATAAAACAAAATTACATCTAATGTTGTCTCTATGCTATTGAGAATAAAATGTACTAATCTACTATATTTACTTTCATGGAAAAATTCATTTAGAGAAATCAACTGTGATAATCTAGAATGATATATTTGATATAGAAATCTGTTTGATGGTTGTCGATCTATCTATCAACAATATGAATCCTATCATTAGAAGACAACATCATCAAGAAATGTTTTTTTTTATTTTATGATAAGATACTGATGATAAAAATACTAAGCAAAACAAACAATTAAATATTCTTATTTTTAACTTAAACTTACATCATGAAATTATAAGACTATTTCTTAGCGTTTTTTTTCTTTTATTGTATTAAAGTAAATAAGTTATATAATATTAATCTAAAAAAAAAGATAAAAAGTCAATAGTAAATTGTTAAAGATGTAATCGAAGATATGTATATATATATATAAAAGAGAAAATCTGTCGTATCTCAAGTTACTGTTGATATAAATCTACTATTTCTCTCATTTACATTATTATTTCAGCATAAATACAAACGCATAACAATATTTTGATACTAATGTTTGTCAAAGATGAATAGATGAGTATATATTGCCGTTAGTATATAATCTTTTAAGGAGGGAAAAAAAGAAAAAAGAAAATGATGATGTTGAGTAAAACATAAAAATGAATATACTGTCGCTTGAATAACCGACAACATTAAATTTTCTTTATTGTATCGTGCAATGAATATTGATTATTTATAAAAAAAGGAAACAAATATACGCAAAATCCGATAAAATCAAAGAAGATTTATAATATGATGTTATTTACATAAAAAAAAGTTCTTTCTTTTTATTTTAATTCAATGAATAACAATTATTTCTCTTTTACTAAAATAAAAATTTTCTATTTTCTTATCAACAAACTGTAAAATTTTGTTTTTTTAATGTTTATGAAACAATCACAAAAAAAAAATTCGCTACATCTCTCAATTAATATATAATTATCACTGTAGAATGATCGTACATAAATTTTGACTTTTATTTTCTATTTGTTCTTATTATTAATACATACAATATGTGAATTGGAATCATATAATGTAATTTGAAAAACATATGATGATAATAGAACATATTGTATTTCTGATACATGTAAAAACATCTATGGATAAATGAGAAAAACAAAAAGAAGATTATTTTTTTAATCAAATAGAAACCATATGTGTGCTTGAATACATCTTCTTTACTAATATTCTCACTGTAGTTTCAATTAACTGAAGGCGTTGACATGAGATACTCATATACTTAACGGCATAGCTTCAAGTGATCAAATCAACCTATATGATTATTCTTTATTTAAGAACATAGTTTATTTATATAACGTGTAAAGCGAAACATACTATTCATATTTTCGTACATCTGTTTTTGGAATTAATAATAAAATACTAATCGATCAAATTTCTGTTAAAAACTAAAAGCATAATATTCTTACATAAAGTGAAATGAACCAAAAAAAACAAAGATAATAATAAAATAAATACATGTTTAGATAGATCTATGTTGTGATGCATGTTCTTGTTCAGTCAACTATATATAATAACTTATATTTATTGATAGAAGAGTTTAATAGAGCGTAGTTCAAATGAGTTCATGCAATGTATCAGGAAACAATATAAATAGAACAATAAGTTTAAGCCTTATTTCTTTACCTTGACGGATGTTGATTTCTCTGGTGATAAAATACTAAACAAAAGAAGAATATTCAATTTCATAATGTTAATATCTATTTTCACTGGTTTATTTTCTAGTTCTTTTTTATTGTTTACTAACTTATAAATATACAAAAAAGAAGAGAGCGTCAAGGGCATATAAATTAATTTGCATAAATTCTTGCTATTCAACAATGTGTCTAACAATGATACACTCATGAATTGAATAGAATTCGTATTCTTATGTTGATTAATGATGAAGAATTAACGTCTACATAGTTCTAATAACTAGTTAGAGACACAAATGAAAGTAAAGTTGTCAATTTTTATTCACTTACTTTTTCTAATCGATTACTTCCCTTTCTGCTCGTCTCTTTTTTTTTTTGATAGATCTAGTCGTACATCGTTGGCATCTGTTGTTATTATTCTTTCATCTCATTTTTTTTCTTCTTCATCTTTTCCTACTCTTAGTTTTTGCTTGAGTGCTGCTTCGCATATGCTTGTAATAGAGCGACTAAATGATGACTGTCGTCGTCAAAAAGAATGAGCAATTTTTGTTCAATTATCTAGTCTACTTCTTTATCTATAGAATTTATGCAGACAGATTTTGTTTTTAGCATCTGCTATTTTTAGGTAGCTTTTCTTTATTCATTAAGAAAATATAAAATAAAAAATTGAATGACGTCAAAAGAATTAAAAAGTAAAAATGTAAAAGAGTAATGATTCTTGCATTCATCATTGATATTATTCCTGTCATCATCATCATCGTCATTATCATCATTGTCATAATGATGACGTTAAGACGAGCATATATATCCTAGTCTTTATAAATATTATTATATTATGACAGATATATTTAACGGATGTCAGTAATCCCCTCACTTTTTTCCTTCCGCTGCCAACTATTGTATGTCTTCAGCAATCATCTTTTTAAAAATATAATAATAATAATAATCATGGAAACGAAAACAGTTAATTAGTTCTTTTTTGTGTGTTATACAAAAAGCACGAGAAAAAAAAAGAAAAAATCACCACGAGTAAAACAAACGAAAAAAAAAATGATTATATCAGTTGTTAATTCATATTTCAAGCAT